GGGGGGTGGGAGGGGTAATCCAGAGGGGTTGTCGAGTGTGGGTGCGGGGGGAGGTAAAGTGGGACGAAGGGCGGGGCGGGGGTTCGCGGGTGGGGGGGGGGGCACTCTCACTCGGGCGTCGGGGGGTCTCTCCGCGCGCGGTAGAGCTAGTAAGAGGGGGGCGGGGGCGGTAGAGCTAGAGGCCGCGGATACCGGGTATCCCAGATGTGCCGGCCGGAACGCCCTTGGGGAGATAACCGACAACTCGCAGAGTCCGCAAGTGTGTCGTGATGTACAGCTCGGCGTTGCATGTGACTAAATACGTACCCTGGTACCCACAGGGTACGGTGCAGGGTCCACATTGGTCATTGCACAAGTTCAAGTACCACGACAAGCCGCACAGCTCGACCGGCGTGCCGCGCGGCCGCGCGGGCCGCGGTGCAGTCCCTCTTGAGTCTCTCTCTGCAATCACGAGTCAGCAGCCAGCGCAGTCACACACCGCCCCAACGCTTTAGGCAAGCCGCCGGACCGGAGACTCGAGATATGTGTGGGTTCTAGTGAGTCCCCTCGGCGCCGGTAGCTTGACGTAGGCGGTGGTGGCTTTGGAGGGAGAGCACCGCAGCAATTGTAGGGGGCGCGCGCAGCCACAGGTACCCACGCGGGACGAGCTTGCACGCCGCGAAAATGCCATCGACGCAGAAGGCGGCCGCGAGGCCAGCGGAGAGCGCATCGAGGGAGAGTGGCGATGGGCAGGAGGCGCAAGGCCAGGCGAGAAGCGACGGAATGACTCCCCAAGTCAGTCTCGCGGAGGTTGCTGCCATCGAGCTGGAGAGGAAGCCACTGAGCGCGAAGCCCCAGTGCGGCGCGCCCACAAAACTGAGGATGACGCAGCCGTACGTGACCTGTATCTCTGTGGCGTTCAGCGAGGGTCTGCCCAGCGCTCTCCGAAGCGGAGCGAGCCACTGCTCATGCTCGAGCCGCTGCTGCCCTGGGCGACTAAGCACAGCAAATGGAATAATTCCACCCGCGGTGAGAACGCCGGCGACGAGGCGGGTCATGACTTGGCTCGGTGGAAAGGGAGCTGAACTGGCCGGAGAGACAAGCTACCCGGTGGCGACCGAAAGTGCCGGGGCGCGAGCGTGCTGCTTTCTTTTCGCCTTGACCACTTGAGTACTCGGTCGATTCCGCATGGTACGGGACCCCTCCGATCGTCTCGGCCCAGAGCGGTGGTTGAGGCCGATTGCCTCAACTGTCAACCACGTGGTTGACAGAGGCCTCAACCCTCAACCAAGGGGTTGACAGACCCCTTCAATCAACCCCTCAACCACGCGGAATGGCTGTCCACACACACACCCGCGCAAAGGTCTGAACACATTCTCTGTGAACCATTCATGTCGTCTTCTTTAGACGCCTGGATGCTGCATTTGACGCACCGTGAATGGGAGGTGTGATGCAAAGCCCGGAGGATCCGCGCGGGGTCATACGCCACAGGCCAGCAATCACTCGGCGATGAGACTACTGATTTGGAACTAGCCATTTCACTCTGACACGCTAATCTTGAAAACGTCCAACGGAGCTCTGTGTTGCTCCCAGCGCCCTCCCCGCGCTTCCTGCGGCCCTAGCCGATGGTACTAGCATGAAAGGGTCATCTGGCTACCGCGAGAGCGACCCAACTCGTCGACATCGTCCGATGATCATCATTGGCTGTTATTCTGTTGTTACTGTTTTTTCTCCTTCCGTCGAAGGAAAAAGTAAATTGAATTCCATGCCCCTCGCAGGACGCTGGGCACGCACTGGCACGAACACAGGTACACCACGGGAGCCGCCTAAGCGACTCCTGCTAGGACGGCGAGGCACTCCAGCTCACAGCTCACGTCACCTATGCCCTATCTATCAGGAGCGCGAAAGGAAATGCCCGCGCCGTCGCCATCGGCACCACCTCCTCCCAGGCGTTCGAGGCCGGGTCGTACCGCTCGACCGAGTGAGCCGGCCTTTCGACCTCAGCTGACCTCAGGTCGTCCTCAGCGACCCTGCCGCCCACAGCGTACAGCTTTCCTTCCAGCGCCGCCACCCCGGCCCCGAAGCGAGCCAGCGTCAGCGGCGCCACCACCTCCCACGCATCCGTCCCCGGGTCGTACCGCTCCACCGAGCTGAGGACATCGTTGGTGGAGCCTCCCACCGCGTACAACTTGCCGTCGAGCACCGCCACGCCATGGTCGCCCCGCGCCGCCGCCATCGGCGCCACAGCCTCCCACGCCTCCGTCCCCGGGTCGTACCGCTCCACCGAGCTGAGGCGGTTGTAGCTGGCATCCAGTCCGCCCACAGCGTACAGCTTGCCATCCAGCACCGCCATGGCGAGGTTTTTCCGCGCCGTCGCCATCGGCGCCACCGCCTCCCACGCATCCAGCGCCGGATCGTACCGCTCGACGCTGAGGACGTGGACGGCTCCGCCCACAGCGTACAGCTTCCCGTCGAGCACTGCGACGGCGGCAGAAAAAGATAGCCGCGCGTCTGCCATCGGCGCCACCGCCTCCCACGCGTTCGTAGCCAGGTCGTACCGCTCCACCAGGTTGGAAGGTGCGCCGTTGGCCTCAATCTCGCCGCCCGCCGCGTAGAGCTTGCCATCGAGCACCGCCGTGCAGACATACGTGCGTGCCGAAGGCATCGGCACCACAGCCTCCTCTTCCCACTCATTCGTAGAGGGGTCGTACCGCTCCAGCGAGTTGAGGAACTCGCCATCGTTGTGTTCGCCGCCGATCACAAGCATGCGCGGCCTCTCGCGCTTCTTCAGCGTCTCCTTCCAGCCGCAGCGCCACGCGCGGCACGTCCCCTTGAGAGCGTGCTCCTTGGTCGGCAGCTGCGCGAGGATGTGCGGGGCGAGGTCCGGCGAGAGGAGGACCTCGGAGAGGATCCACTCGGGCTGCTCCACGAGCCGTGCGGCGTGCTCCTCCGCCACGCGCAGCGCGGCGTCGCTCGCGCCCGCCTGCGCCTCGATGATGGCGCACAGCTGCGCTGGCGACAGGCCCGCGACGCGCGCGCCGATGCGGTGGGAGGCCATCGGCGCGGGGTTCCCGAGATTTTTCTTTTTTTGAGACACACTAAATAAGACTCCACCTCCTCACTTGAGCTCGACGAGGTACTCTCTCATCGGCAGGTCGTCGTACCCGTTGACACCGCCGTGGGCAAAGGCCGGGTCCGCACGCGAATTTTTTTTCGCAAAGCAAATTCTTTTTAATACGCGTCGCCCGCGGCACGGGCGCCATGCTCGCCGTCCACGCGGTCCATCGCCACATCCCCATCCCCATCCCCGCCTGCGCCCGCGCCGGCCTGCTCTGGGACGGCGCGCCACCGCTCGTCGTCCAGCATGTTGCATGTGCCACCACCGCCGATCCGAGTAGCCGTCGTACTCGACCTCGTGCACGATCCGTCCGTCCCTGTCCTCCTCCCGCGCCATGACGGTCGCAGGATACCACCGCTCGCTGTCGCAGAAGATCTCGAGGCGCGATCCGGTGGGCATGACAGTGTGGCCGTCGAGCGCCGCCCTGGCATCCTCGCGCTGTCGCTTCCGCCGCATCGCCTTCGTCTCCTTGCTGCGCAGCAGGGTGTAGTTCGGGCCCACCTCCGCCACGCTGTCCAGCACGTGGACGGCGCTCGCCATCTCGACCGCGTCGTCCTCCGGCGGAAGCTCCGCGTCGCCCGCGGCCGCTTCCCGAGCGCGCTCGTCGCGCATCCGCTCGTGGTGGGCCTGCCGACGCGCCACGCCGGCGCCCGTGTGCCTCGCCGCCGCGTCCGGCGACGGCATCGATGCTGTCCAGTCAAAGCCTGACTGAAAATCGCCAACGAGCGTGACTCCACGACCGCCGAAAAGTCGAGCGCCCTGCCCCAATCTCGAACAAATCTCGAGTCCTCTCACATTGTACATACATAACACTAGCAACACTGTTCAGCTCTTAACGTTTGACAGCTCTCTACCCAGGGATCTACACGCAATCCGACAGGTTCGGCACCGGGCACCGCCACTGGCCCACTGCGCCTCGGTGTATGTAGATAGAGGGAGGAAGGGAGGGGCGGCGAGAAGCTAGGGGGGTAGGAAGGGGTGGCTGGGTCGTGGGAGCCCCCTCTAGAGACGAAGTCAGTCAGTCTAGCCACGACCCGCAGTATCTGGTGCCTCGCACGGCCAGGAGTGAGAGGAGCCGGATCTTTGCGCTCACGCAATATTGGTTTATTGCGATTGCATTCTCCTGCGATTGATTGCCACTTGTCACGGCCACAAGAGGTTCCAGTATATCTCCTGGCTATCTATCTCCACTGGACTGGCTAGAGTCTCGAATACGTACGCGAAAGAGGGGGTAAAGTACACACGTAAGGGTCGCACGTAGGTAGATACTGCTTCCTAGGACAACAATACGTCTGGGGGCGCCGTACGACAGTGTGATCATGCAAGGTTCAATCCGTCCAGCAGAAAAAGAGCTTGAACTTGGGCAGCACCTGGTCCCGGTCAGCCACCACAAGCTCGTCGTAGTCGACACTCGCGTCCCTGCGGCAAGTCTCTCCCTCCGAGTTCACCGCCTGGAACTGCAGCTCCTCGCTCACGAGCACGTAGTGCGAGTCGTTGCCATTCTTGATGGCGATGGGCATGTTGTCCTCGGGAAAGAAGTGGGACGATGAGCTGGCGCTGCTGGCGCCATGGTAGTCGACCCTACACGCACAGATCAAGTGTTTGCGGACGCAAGCTAGAGAAGGGAGGGGGCAGAAATTGAGAAGCGCCGTGTTAGCGGGTAGACGACGCCGGGCGCCACCCAGCAAGCGAGGACGCAATACTCCTTGTAGAGGACGGGGTCCCGCGGCGGGTTTGCGAGTTGGCCTGTCGAGTAGCGGAGCGCGTACTCGGCATGCGTGGTCAAGTAGTGGCCGTGGCCGAACCAGTCAGAAGAAGAGCGGCTCTCCCCGTGTCGGAAGCCCTGCCTGCAGATCTTCTCTGCGGCCTCGGGAGTGGTCCCGTGGAAAGCGAGGCACACGGGCGAGAGCTTGAGCTGGCTTCCCTGCAGGCAGCGCCTCAAGAGGCGGCTGAGCACGCGCTCTTTCTCGGCTTGTTGGTCAGCCCTGAGGCCATGGCCGGTGGACGGGTTCCACTGCAGAGCAGTCGGCCCCGCATCCATTCGCGAGTGCTGCGTACCCTCGACTCTGCTTTGAAAGCTCGCGTCGAGATGGCTCGATGCCATCATCTCGATCCGAACGAGTCTTGCGCCCTGCAGAGGCCGGCCACCCTTGCCCCCTGCAGCTACTATGCGGCGCAACTCGCTGATGGCCGGCTGCAGCGCGGGCGGCGTGAAGGTGGGCTCGCCATCCTTCCACACAACAGCAGACTTGGACTGCGCCGTCAATGAGAAGACTGCGTATTTCGCGAGAGGGCTGCACATGAAGAGGCTCTGCTTCTCCGTCTCCCGCAAATGCTCCGCAAATGCCTGCGGCGCTTCCGCCCGCGCTGCCGCCGCCCCGTCCGCTCGCGCCACCTCTACCGCTGCCTGCTGCTCTTGCGCCGCCCGCTGCAGCGCCGCCTGGACTGCCGCCTCCGCCTCGGCTCGGAGAGTGGCCTCGCGCGCCGTTGCCGCCTCCGTCGCCTGCTCGAGCCGACGCGCTGCCTGTTCGAACACATAAAGGGTGAGGAGGTAGGCCGTAGTGCTGCCGTAGTTAAGACGGCGAACCTCTTCTAGCTGCGACTTGAGGTGAGCCAGCTCTGCCTGGTGCTCGACCATCACGTCGATGACGTCGTCATCCTCCATGTCCATCTGGGGCGTCGCGGAGGGCGAGTGGGCGCGGAGGGAGAGTGAGCGCGGAGGGCGGCGGGCGCGGCAGAAGAGGATGCGGGGAACTCTAGCGGCGCAGCGCGGCGCGCCTCGGCGGGTGTCTGGTTGCCGTTGAGGCGCTCGCCATCAAAGAGGAAACGGACGCCTTGCTGCGACATGCCCTGGCGCTGGCAGAAGGCGTTCATCAGCTCCGAGAGCGCCGTCGTCTTTTTGCACTGCGGATCAGAGAGGCCGTCGGCAGATCAGACACGAGGACGCACGCACGCCGCCGCCGGGCGGGTCGCGCGCGGGAGGTGCGAGGCGCCTTGAAGAATATTTCGCTGCCGTCCTGTGTCACCACCTTGAGGTTGATGGCATCGCCTCCCTCCTTGACGTCGGGCTTCTGTGCAGCACGGCACAGGCGCAGGCTCAGTCTCTGCGCGGCACGAGGGCGCGGCCGAGGGAATGCGCTTGCGCTGCCGCCTCGTCGCCGCTGCCGGCGATGGCGGCGGTGGCAGCCTCGCGCTCCTCGTCTGATAACGACGATGCGGCGTCATCGCCCTCCTCCACCCTCCTCCCCCTCCTCCTCCTGCTCCTTCTCCTCCTCCTCCATCTTCGCCGCCGGCTCCTCGACATTGGCTGGGCAAGGCCGGGTGCGGCGGCTGTCCTCGTCGCAGCGAGCCCGCTTTGCAGGGCTTGGCACCATCTCTAGGGCCTACCGGCATGTTAAGGAAAACTCGGGGGACTTTCTGAGCACACATTGGGGTGCGGACGGAGAGGACGCCGTCTTGAGCTGCTGCGGCTGATTTCGGAAGAGACGCTCCGCGAGTTGCTTCAGCTCACTCTGCCGCCAGCGGTTGCCACCTACATTCGGATCCGCGGGTGAAATGAGCGCTCACATTTACGCCCCCTTCCGCGCTGGTTACCCGGGTCGACGAGGGTGAGCGCGTAGGTGAACCTGTCTGAAAGCGTCTTCTTCTCGACCTAACAGGGTCCAGGACATGTCTTGGGCGGAGTGGCGAGAAGAAGATGCGCGCGCGCTTGGTCCCACCTCGGTGCGCCAAGTCCCGCCGGGGCCGGGAATCGACAACCCGCAGGCAGAGAGAGTATACTCTGGCACCAGCTCCTCGAAAGCGACGGCCCAAACGAGTGCACCGCACTCGCCCTCGCACTCTGCGCCGCGCGACGCCGGCCGCACGTCCTCGGGGAACGTGAGGTTGCCGTCGCTGTTGCGCAGGAAGGAGATCTCATCGTCTGCGGTGCGTCCACGGGGCGTCCGCTCTGCATGGGGAATCAGATAGTCGAGCTCGTCCTCCTTGACCGCACGGACGTCGTGCAGCCCGTCCGACTTGGCGACGAGGTGGTAGATGCGGAAGAGAAGCCAGCCTAGGTAGAAGTTCGATGGCTCTGCCTTGCGGGCGACGCGTCCGTAGGCCGCTTCTGCGAACCTCTCTCTTCGTCCAAGACTTCGATGTGGTCGCCGATCTCAAGAGACGTCACTTGTCCAACGGCGCCGGGCGCCGACGGAACCTCGCCGCCGCCGCCGCCGCCGCCGCCGATTGTCTCCGCGAGGTCGTCCGTGGGGTCGACGAGCGAGGACATGACGCCAAAAGAACACGCAACGTTCGATTGTGAGGACCGCACGCGGGCGGCTCCTCGGCGTGTCCCGCCCAAACGCGTCTGCGAGGGAAAAATGGAACTTTGGTATGACACGAAAGGGAGGGCTACACGAGGCCCTCTACACTGGAATCAGCAGCTCCTCCACCCCCGCGCTCACATTGCGCCGAACTCCTCGAAGAGCAGCGCCTCCACGCGGCACTTCCCCTCTGCGTCCGTGTACTGACCCTTGACAGCCTCGACCGTCCCGGTCCCCGTCCGCGGGTCCCACATCCCCACCCTCCCGCCCCTGTAAGTTTTATTCACCACTCACAAGCTGTAACCCCTCTTACTACTGACAGAAACAGACTGCCAACACTATCAAACCAGAGGTCAGGGTCCGCGGCCCCCAGGGCCGCCTAGCCACCTGATCTACGCTGCGGGTGTAGGGCAAAACCGCGCCGCTGCAGAACGGTTTTTGCAAAACCGCGCGCCGCAGCGGTGCGAAACTGCGCCGCTACAGTCCCCGAGTGAGGGGAAGCCATCCCCGAGTGATCAGGATCATGTGGCCGTCGACTAGCGACGGCTGCGCAGTCGTCGATCTTCAACAGCCCCCCATCCTCGCATCGGGTAGCGAGACTGAGGATCTGAAGAAGCTAGACGACTGCTAAATCTCCTACTATCGCGCGCACAATTGTACAGCCTCCTCAGGGGCGGAGGATGCCCCTCGCGCGCACAATCGCGCAGCCTCCTCAAGGGCGGAGAAGGCCCTGTGTCGCCCTAGGCGGTGTCGTTCATGATCTCCTTGCGGAACGACTCGAACTCCTTGCGCGGGAGCGGCTTGGTGAAGAAGTCGGCGAAGTTCTTGAGGCTCTCGACGTACTCGACCTTGACCTCCCGGCGGACTCGACGAGCTCCCGAATCTTGAGCTCCTTGCGCAGGATGTGCTTCGTCTTGTCGTGCATGACCGGGTCCTCGGCGACGCGCAGCGCGGCCGTGTTGTCGATCTTGATGATGGTCGGGCCCTTGGGCTTGTAGCCGAGCGACGCGAGGAGCGAGCGCAGGTGGACCGCCTCGCAAGCCGCCAGCGTGCCGGCAGAGATCTCGGCCTCGAACGTCGAGAGGGAGATGTGACCCTGCTTCGGCGTGGTCGTCACCGCACCGACCCGCGCGGAGCCTGGGGGACCCGGAACCTCCCCGTCGGAGGCTGGAGTACCCGGGGGAGGGGACCGAGGTGGGGGAGGTGCCGTGCGGAGATAGCGGGTCGGCCGGCGAACCGGGGGGCCAAGACCGGAGGGCCCCGAGTGAGACCTGGAGTCAGCTGTCGGGGGAGATGAGAGTCGAGCTGACTCGGCCTCTGCGAGTGGAGTCGGGAAGTACGAGCTCGCCGGGGGTAGACCCGTCGCGGCGGCAGCCGGACCACCGTGATCTACGACAAGGAGGGCCACGCCTCCCCGAGCTTGATGAGGGACCGGCGGAGGGGAGGGGTGAGCCGAGGACGATAGAGAGGCCGCGGGTACGGGCGCGACTGGTCGACCAGGGAGAGCCGGCCCGACCTCCCGGGGGGGGGGGGGGGGGTGAGTACGACCCAATACTGCCGTCCTCGCCCGGGGAGTTGGGAACGGGGTCGCCGGAGGCGGAGTCAACGGGATCGGGCAGAGAAGACGAAACGGCGGCGGGGGGCCGCGGCCAAAGAAGGCTAGGAGGTGGAGCCGGGCCCCACATCCGTTGCCCAACCAGCGGAAAGCGAGTGGGGCTGTGGGGGGGGAGGACCGAGAGGATAGGGGGGGCCCTCCGGACCGTGGGTGGGGAGGCCGGACAGAGAAGCCCCGAGGGGAGACGTCGAGTGAGGATGTACGTCGTGTGCGTGTCTGGTGTTTACTAGCTCCGAGTAGAGGGGGCGCTCCGCTGCTAGGGGAAACCCGGAGCGCGGACTAACCCTCGGAGACCCGTGTTTACTTTACGGCCCTTTCCCTGCGAACGCGCACCCCCAGGGCTAGGGTTCTCTTGCCCGCAACCCGATGCCGATCATCCGGCCCGCTGGGTGCGCTTCTCAGCTCCCCGGCCCTGGATGTGAGGTTGCCGACCGCACTCCAAGTGCTCCAAAAGTGCGCCACCCACCCCGTCCCGACCCACCCCACGATGGCGTGCCCGGCCGTCTTCGATCGAGACGGTGAACACTGTGGGTGAACAGTGCCGCGCGGCGCAGGCAAGGTTTCAGTTCCACAGTTACAATAGGGGTGCGCTCCCCCCTCCGGCATACAAGAGAGCTTTCCGTGTTTTTTCGCGTACGTAGATACTTCTCGTACATCATTCGTGACCCGCCCACAGTTTGGCTCCCGCCTCGAGCGGCGGTGCGAGGCCGATGACACCCTCGCCTTCGACCCTGAGGAGCCACTGCAGCGTCGTGCGGAGGCCACCAAACGGGTAGATGTGGATTGCCTCTGCGCCGTGCCGCTGCCCCCTCAAGCGCTGCCACACTGCCACGCGCTCGAGGAGCTCCGACGGCTCCGTCGCCGGCGGTGGAGGACGGACCCCGCACTGCAACGCCATCCGCTGCAGCAGCTGCGCCTTGGCGGGCCCGACCAGCCCGAGGCTGACCGGCGCCTCCTCCTCGGCGGCCCGCAGTGCGTCCACAAAGCCTGTGGCACGCTCGGCGTCAAAGCAGATCTGCGTGACGATCCGGGGCTGCTGCCCGGCGCGGCGGAGGGCGGCCGTCTTGCCTTTAAGGTGCACAATCCCTTCGCCCGTGCTCACGGTGGCACCGATCCCCTCTGGATGTCCGCACAGCCCAACCGTCTCAACGCCACGTCGGGCGAGCGCGCCGCTCTCGAGCAGGTCGAGCGTCGTCGCGAACGGGCCGCCCGAGGGGCGGGGCGAGGCCGGATTCCCATGCGCGGCGGTGTCGTGCGCGCCTTCGTCGCCTCGCACCACGAGCACCTGCAAGGCGAGAGCGGCGGCTAACGCGCACACAGACAGGCTGAGGGCAGCGCTTGCCATGCGCCTCGGAGAGCTGGTTGGAGCAGGCCTCCTGCCACGAGTCGAGCCTGCGGAGCAGCTCGGCCTCGCTTGGCACGCGCGACGCCGCGATGTGTGGAACAGGCTCGACGTGCGGCGCCGAGGCGTGCAAGTGAGCGAGAGCAGCGCCCATCGCCGCTGGTGCATCGCCCGGGAGGCTAGGTAGGTACACGCGCGTCCCTCGAGGCACGAGCGCGAGCAGGCTCGTCGTCAGACTGCTCGTCCCGCTGCCCAGCAGCTTGGTCGGCAGCACCTCGAGGGAGAGGCGCATAGGTCTGTACAAACGTGTGCGCTAAGCGCAGACGCGGCGCGAGAACAAATAACCCACTTGGCGGCGAGGGGGGGCAGCCGCCGCAACAGACGAGCGCACCCCGAGCCGGGGATGCACCTAGGGGTCGTCCAGTTTGGGTTCGCCTTTCACGGGTGGTAGGGGATCACTATGAACCCTGGGGAGATTGCGCTCTCGGGCGTGTCACGCTAAGTTTGGATAAGCGTGTCACGCTAAGTTTGGATAAGCGTGTCACGCTAAGCTCTAAAATAGATAGCATGTTCTTAATGGCCCCACTTCCACATTGGACGCACAACCACCGAGCGCAAATCACTCTGAGTGACACATTTCTTGTTGGCTTCTAAAAATCTCTCTCAACCACCTTGGCGCAATGCGCGTCACCTCGGATTGGCTGCTGGCACTCTCGAGGCTATGCCTACACAGCCTCGCGCGCATGGGCAGTCAAGAGGGACCACGCACCTTCTCAGGACAGCGCCGGCGCCTCT